GCTGGACGGTAGCAACTTTATATCCAGTAAAAGGAGGTTATCCGAGAACAGACTGTCGTACCTCAATCGACGTATCCTGCGTGATGGTGGACGTTTCCCCAAACACACTCGCGCCTTCAACACAACCTTGGATAAGGGATATGCAGTTATGGCTAAGGCGTGTTAGCCGGGGCAGACTGGTCACCGGTGTTGGTGCTTACCTCCTCACGCGGTTCTTAAGCACCGGATGCAGGAGGACAAGCAAGACAGGCCGCGGCTACTATGGCAACTGGACATACATTAGAATAGACGCAGTTGTCATCTGAAGAGATGTCAGAAGAGTGTGACGCTTAGAGGGTGATGCATAGCCGTGTTTAAGTTTGGCTCGAAGCGTTGGGCAGTAGTCAACATAAAAGGATTTTACCTAAACACTTCGTGGAGGAGAGAAGCCCACGAGTTGCGCATGGTGGTAACCAAGGAAAGCAGCTTTTGTCCAGAGGCTCTTGTGTGGTTGCACTGCTTTCCTTTCCATTTTCTAAGGAGCCTTGCTGTAGGCACTAGTAGGTCCGACAGCCAGGGATGTTAGAGATGTCAATCAGCAGAATTTCGGAGGCGTGATTAAGTACGCAAGCACTTCTCCTACCCTTCCAACGCTTGACCGGAGGTCTTGTCTGCCCACACACTGCACTTGTCATGGGATTGATAACGACCGCCGTTCATTGTGTAAAACTTCCACTACCCATTACCTAGCCAGACGCCGTAGCCAATGCATGGGCGTAGGGTTTGTGCAGGTTATTAGTACAGTTTTGACGCTTCTCGCTGCCACGTGCAGGTGTGCCACGCACACTGACCTTGCTCGTCCCCCATTTACCGGACGACCGCCTTAGGTACTTCGCGCATTCTTCCAAGGTGACATCCGGCCGCCCTAGGGTGCGTCGTACACCTCTGTTCCTTTATCCGCACGCAATAACGGTTGCGTAATCTCTCAAATCGCTCATACGCACGTTTATGGTTGACAAACGCTCGACGATGCCCTTTGGTTGAGCGCTACTCAAAGGCGATTTCTGCTTACCTAGAGCGCTTACGATTGCGGTTTGTTGTACGATGTTTGGCTGGCTAGCCGAACAACCTCCTCGTGGCGCTAGCTGGGTGCTTCGTGTTTAACTCGTTCCAGTAAATTGTTCGGCGGCATTGTTCCAGGATGCGGCGGGTTTTCATCTGGCGAGTGTTCTCCCTATAAAATGCCACTAAAGTCGACTTAGCAACACTGCGACATGGCTGGTGTGACGCCACAAACTCGGTACCGCCCCGTGGAAAACCGGAAAATGTTCTTCAATCCACGGATATCCATTGCTTATTCTCATATTCATGATGAACACAAAGCGCTGCGGCACACTCACAAAAGCGAGCTACACCGATACAGTCATACACAAGTACATAAGTGTATACACCAATACACCCATTCACTGTCATGCCAAACGTATATTTTCTACGTTTTTGATCATATTAAGTTAGCTTGATATGATCATGTCGGTAAAGTTGTGCCTCACTTTGCCGAGAATAGAAGCTTTTTATTGTTTACTGTTTTGTTAATAGCACTACACACCTTGGGTCCACCTTGGCTTTTGTAGCTTTCGAGCTCGATTGGTCGTTTGGCGTAACGACAGCGTTTACTCGCCACAGCCATAGATCAGTTCCTAACCACCGAACAAATTGATTTTGGACTAGGATACTGGCTGGTCGCTCACACCTGACAGGAAAATTATTTGCTTGCTCAGCCGAAGCCTGCAATTAGCTTTACACTAGAAAGTCAGCGGGTATACCACATTGTACGTTTCTTGACTCATTCAGTTTAGTTTAGAAGGAGAGCGTAATCCAACTCCAACCATCTGTCGCCACAAGACGTTCAGCACATGAGCCAAAGGCACAACAGCTGCAGCAATGGAGAGACCACTTGTCAGGATCTAGCCACCGCGAGCCTCAGCGCGCTATGGGCACTCCCACCCAAGCCCATGCAACACACCTCTATTTTTACCTGTCGACATTTATGGATTCTCCTATCTGAAAGTTCTACGATACCATTTCACATTAATTAACCAATGTTTGTACTGGTGTAATGGTTACGTCTTTAAAGGCGCGCCTCAAGTAGTCGAGAAAAAAAATCATTTAGTTAGTTACTTTGTGGTGCTCCGGGCGCAGTTATCACAGCTACCGATGGGATTGTGTTTGAGTTGAGCGGAGGGTGAACGAAAACATGGGTGATGGCTATAAGTGAAACGGGAAGCATTACTATATGCGGCAACAGTGGGAAACTATGCGGTTGGGATCTTCTAACTTTTACACACTGGCAAGTTGACTATAGTCATAGTTGCCTACTTTCTCGATACTTACATCAAAGATACTCTCAGTCTGCATATACCGTCACTACTACATTTACTGCGCTTTTGCTGTGTACTCTGCGTAAACACGAACCCAAAGTATTGTCACCTCACTGAGGACTGTTCTCCTTAGTACTTTTTCCATTGCAACTTGCACAAATGTTGACCACAGCAGGTAAACTACATAGCAAGGTGTCTGGTACGCAACCCAACTGCTTGCAAATGTTGATCATAGCTGAGTTAGTGTGTCTCGATGAACACAAGAACAAACTATTTATTTAGTTGTTACTCAAGTTCGCACCAGGGATTGCTACAAATGTAGCGTAGGACCAAAACTGTTTATGACGCGCGACCGGCGTTGCATCGTTGTATTGATAACCGTCTCCCTTGGCTGCCTCTTAGTGTACTTTTGTGGCTAAGGTACTGGGAGAGAAAGAGAATCCGAGAACCAGAACAACAGAACAAAACACGTATGTTCGTTCATTCCGTTTTATCAAGTTAATTCCATTTTGTAGAGTCTGTGTGCTGTATACTGGCATTACCTACTCAAACCCCGGTGCTCTCACGGGTTGTTACGTTACACATTACTGTCAACTTTGCAGAATAAAAGACCCCGAAGGTCTCAGGTTAGTCTTGGGTCACAAAATGGTACAGCAGCGCTACAACTACAAGCACTATTATGCATAGCGTACATGCACTTTTCTTCTAATTTTCGTTAACTTGTAGTGGTTTTTATGCGGGTAACACGTGCCTTCCACCTAGCTGCATCGAAACGATAGTGGGTCAGCCTTGCCATCGCAACCGCACTGCTTAAGTAGCTGCACCATGCAAGATATTGTGAGCACTGCATCAGAGCTCTTCAGTGTTAGCTAGAGTGAACCCATATAAATCAGCTGGTTCTGATGGTGTACAGCTCACCATAGTAAAGCCACAGGCTAATATCATTCAGTATACTGTCGCGGAATTATTCAGCCCGCCGCTTTGGGAAAGCAACCTGCCACGATATTGTAAGGAGGTGACCATGGTCGCCATCCACAAGCTGGATTCTAAGTCAGTGCCTCTTAACCGAAAATATGTTAGTTTGACCAGCATCATGCTGAAGTGTTTGGAAACGCCGTAGGCAAAGGAGTTGTGAGCAATTAACTGAAAATTATCTAATTAGAACAGATCAGCACGGCATTCGTAAAAAGCAGCCGGGTCTTATTAACTTATTGTAGGTTTTAGATGAGGTTACTCCATATATTGTTAGGAAGAGATCACTAGTTGGACTTCAGTATGGCCTTTGGCTCAGTGTATCCTCGATCCTTACTTGAGAAGCTGACATGATTTGGATTGTATCCACAATTAACACTTTGGATTTTTTAATTCTTACGTGGATGAGCATTCAGGGTCAAGGTCGGGGAAGTGAGTTCTATTGTAGCTCTTGCCTACAGCAGTGTTCCGCAGAGTTCGGTACTTGGTCTATTACTGTTTCCTATGTTTAGAATCGACCTGGTTCCTCTTCTCGTTGCCCCTTGCTCTGTCGCAGCTGACTTAAAGCTAGTCAGTAGATTAAACCAAAAATGTCTAAAGACATCGTCACAATGGTGAATTGGTAGGGCCGGTGGGATTTACCTAGGAATGTCAATAAATGTCAGTTACTGAACAATAGTGATAACGGACTTGCTGCGCAGTTTGCTGCGGGATCTCGATCATTGCAATGAACTACTGAAGCCCAAAAGCCAGGTGTTACCATAGTGAACCGTGTTAAGCCTTCAGCACAGTGTAGTCAAGCTGCCAATAAAACGCGACAAGAGTTGTTTCGCCTTAGGAGGGCGCGGATTAACACTCAAGTAGCAGTACTTTTGCCCTCATATAAATCAGTGTTTAGGTCACACCTGAGTACTGTGTTCAGTCTTGGACGCTGTGTGTAAATAAAAGAGGCAGAAACTTGCAACCAGAATGGTTGAACTACAAAGAGGGAAATCGTACGAAGATCGTCAAAGTAGCATAGGATTAGTTTCCTTTATCGGTGTAGGTTGAGAGGGGATATAATAGAGACTTTCAAGATAATAAAGAGCTCAGTGCTATCAGTACTACCCAGCTGTTTGAGTTAGCTAAGTCGGACAACCTGCAGGGTACCGGCTGAAACTTAAACAACCTAGGGCTCGTTTGGACATCGGAACCAATTTTTTTTATAAACCGAGTAGTTATCATTCGGAAAGCACTTCTTCTGTAGTTGCTTTCAATGGAGCTTAGAGAACTGTTTGTCTGCTCTTTCTCAATGATATTGTAATTATATTGAGATATGTAGTGTATTCTGTTGCTGAAACATGAAAACCCAAGAAATGAACTTGTGCTTGCTTAAGTCTTTTAAAGTTGCAAAAAGAGACAACCCAGCGTTGAAGTGACGGGCAGTGTTTCACTTACCGGCACAAGAAACAGGACATCCGTCAGGCGAAAGCCTCTATCGTCCGTCGTGCAAGACCTGACTTGACACCAAATAAGCCAGTGTACTGAATCCAAGTATTTAGGCATAAACATTCTGTTTGTGAACGCGTATGTCTGACGTACAGTAGTAAGTAGTTATTCTTTTAACGCTATATTATCGTTAGCATTTTCGTTAGCACGGCAGTCAATAACTCGGTGTTTTATGGCTCAAAGCCCTTAACGATAATTGAAGCGGAATTATGAAGTTCGTTTTTTGCATGGAGACGGAAACATGATACTTGCAATCCACACACTTGCTCCCCATATAACAACGATACTGTCATTTGGCGCATTTTACTCCATGGATTTTTTCATCAGGAATTACGGCGAACTGCTGCTAAACAAACAAAGAAACCCAAGACTATTCACTAGGATGCGCAACTACGCGCTTTCCGTTATACACGCTGTTACAACTGGATGCAGTTCCCTTATCTGGTAAGTGATGTAGACAAGAGTATTTTAAGTTTACTTTTGTTTGATGGCCTGCTCAGCGATGTAATATTGGCGCAGAACGAAGGTGCCTACCACTTATTAGGTTTTTCGACCGGTATGTTGGAGTTGGTTAACCTAACTTTATAGGTTACTTTTTGCATGATATATATCATAATATACGTTACGGACATGGTATACGATCTGCAGAAATAATCGTTCATCACATTGCAGTAAGCATATGGCCATTGACAAAATTTTCTCTTACTTCAGGTTATCGTCTGCTTTTTGGTAGTGTTAAAATACAGGCTGCTCCTTTCGTATGCTTTATTTGGTTTACTTATGGAATTAAACAGCATATTTTTGCACGGAAGACAGCTTTTACTGTATTTTAATATAAGTCCTGGATCAAAATGGTACCAGTACAACCTGCGAGCAAACATCCGTGAGTTTCAACTATTTAAATTTTGGTGTCAGCTTGCTATATGAAGGTTTAACATGCATCTTCTTGTTGAACTAGTGTATTTTGTAACTGCCTATGGTTTATACTCAGTTAGCGAGCCTTTTATATCGTAAACTTATTAAGCAAAATACCTAGTCCCAGAGTAATATTTCGTTGGATTATCAGGCTGTAGAGCGCAAAAGAAAAACCCATTGTTAGCTCATTCATTTCTTGCTCACTGCGTGAGAGCCGCAAATCGTTGGACAGCTGTATTCTACAAGTGGCTGTGACAGCTCTAGTAGAAACAACAAGGTCCAGGCTTACTTAACAAGTGAGAATCCAAAAGTCGCTTGAAACATTCTTCACTCTGAGCTTCGACCACAGGTTTTGGTAAGTCGTTCCAGTCATTTACAATGCAGGTTGATAAAGCAGGAGCGGAACGAACTTTGAGTCTTCTGGGTTTAAACAATTTCCTATCCAATTTAGGTAGATCAATGAAGTTTGTGTCCAAGTGGTACCGGAACTAGGATAGTTTCATCAAAGGTTCTTCTTCCGTGGATATTTTAACCGGAACTTGACAGAATTATTTGCAATATTTATAAACCTAAAACAAAGAACCGCCTTATATATATGTATATATATGCATATATATATATATATATATATATATATATATATATATATATATATGAACACTACAACAGTACAACTGGCATTGCCACAACTTGTGGACCAAGACGATACACGAGTTATATGGAAGTAGAATGAATAAAATAGTGTACAACCGAGGTCATGGAAGCGGAGGCTCACAGCATGTTTGCCATTGCTCACCGTTTCTTGATATGTCCGAAAGGGTTTCCAGCCAAGTATGCCCATGGTTCTGTCGTCCCCGACCGGGGAGTCGAGAGCACCCGGCCTTTGCCAAATGTGAGGTTATTGCCTTCCTATTCTTAGCCGGTCATTTGGTGGCCACCTTGTCTTCACTTTCAGCCGACGTATGTGCGCGCAAACTGTATACGGGAAAGCAACCGCTTATTAGGTGTGGGAGGCACGTGCTCAAGCCATTGAAGCTTATGCAGTGAAATTATACGGCACAGTTGCCCGAAAGTCCTGTCCCATTTGAAAATCCTACAGCAAACCTTCTCACTACAAATATGATGTTACCACCGCACACCAGTCATTCGCCGAAGGCCGCGGGGATCAAAAACAAACAGCCACTGAAGGTCCTTTGCAAGAAAAAGCCAAGTCTCGCAACTGTGGAGCAGCACAGCTCTCCCTGTGCATTGTTGACTCGGCCCTTCAAGGAGAGTCTCAAATCGCAGCGACGCCAGAGATGGTGGAGATTATCAAACGCAAACCGGATCTCAGAAACGCACAAAGAGAACTCACCCGTTGAACCTTTAACGCCGATGAAGCGGCCGAAGTAAACGAACTGGTCCACCACCTTCAGAGATTGTTCTGCAAGTGTAAGAATGAAAGTAGAACTTAGCCAGTCATATGCAAAGTACTGCCAATTAGAATGGGCGAATGTCATTTAAAACTAGAAGGCAGGTAGCGCTAATCTGCACAGCAGATTTTGGGCAACCTGTAGGAAATAGCAAAGTAGGACGATTTCGTCTTCATACTTCATATCGCAAAGTCCGTCCCCCTGAAGCAATTCAACGTCCGCAATGCTCCAGAACGCTCTCTAGGAGGTCATCAATCGCGAAATGGAGCAGGTAGGACGATGTAGGGCAGTCCTGTGTTACGGCACTGGTGATACTAAAAGGCAGCGGAAATCCGCCGTACACCCGCACTCGGCCCGACGTTTGAGTGCAAATGGCTCGAGGGGTATTAAAGTAGTTCCCAAGCACACCCCTTTTAAGAGATAGCTCCAGAGAGAATCTCGATCAACTGAGTCAAAAGCGGCTCGTATGTCTAAGAATACAACGAACGTTGGCCCGCTGAATGTCTGACGACGCTCGAGTGTTTGGCGGGGTGTAAAGATGTGATCGATACAACTCCGGCCAGTGCGGAACCCAGCTTGCAACTTGCGTATATTTTGTTCGTGTACCAGGCTGGGCCACCTCAAAGCAGGACCGCGAGCACTTTAGATGCAACGCAGATGAGAATAATTCATCTGTGGCTAGCACAGTCCGTCCGGGCACCCTTTTGCAGACGCGCACATATCCGCTACACTCTAATGGGGCGGGATTGTTTCGGTAGTTCAAACCTCTTGAAGGAGGGAAGTTAGCTCCCGAGAAAGTAACTGACCTCCATATTTGCAAAAAGCTGCAGGAGGCTTGTCCATGCTAGGGGCTTTGTAACGCTGTAGGAAGCGAAGCTCACGGGCAACCTTAGCCTCAGAAAGGGGTGTAGTGTTCACACACAAGGAAGCACTACTGATTCACGGATGAGGGATCACCGGTGCTGTGGGTCATTTGAACTGCTGCTCAAAGTGTTCAGCCCAAAACACAAGTCGACGTTGTTGTCAATGGAGTTGCTTGCCATTGGTTTCGCACAACAACTCACTTACACTCGGCCTTTTCCCGCCAGTAGATCGGATAAGGTGGAAAAGCTTTCGGTAATTCTCTTAGTTGGTAGCCTGCTCCATATCAATGACCCGTTGCGTCCACTAGGTCTCGCGATCCTCCCGAAGGAGATGTTCAGTTTCAGCGTTAGGGGTCCTGCGTAGTTGATGATACTCAACGCCAGCTGGAATTACCCGACGAGCTTCAAGTAGTTGGGGAGATCGTGCAGAGGTTCAGTGCTTAACAGGACTACTGGTGAAATCATAAACCAAGGTCGCAGCGTTGTGCATGGCGCTGCAGATGTGTGCCAAGTGCGTTTTAACGTCAGAGCATGAGATAGTATTTAGCTTAGAGGACAACGCATCCTGAGATGCTCTAAGAACGTTTGGGGAAGAAAGTTTGACTAGGTATAACCGTGTCCGGCGACGCCGTGGGGAGCCACCAAAACTTAAAGCAATCTTTGCACACACGAGCACGTGATCCAAAAGTAAGTACTCCAGATTGATTTGCATTCATGTGTGCACCCCGTCAGCGGTTACTGATGGCGATGTGGTCAATCATCGTCCATGGATGGCCAGCTAACGGAAGCCAGCAGGTTGTGCGTTGGCGCCAGGATCGCTGAAAGCTTAATACTTGCCAGGAAGATCCGATTATCGCAGCAAAGCTGAAGTAGGCTAACACGAGTATCTTTTCTGTGAGTGCCATGGCCATGTTGACCACCGTGTTCAGGTTCTCCAACCTCAAGCCCACCGACTTGCGCGTTTAAAGTTCCCGCAACTACCACAATGTCTGTACGGCGTTTTTTCGCAGAAGGTCGGACATGTGACCATAGAACTCGACTTTAACTGACTCCTGGCTGCAGTCTATGCGAGCGTATGCTGCCAGAACGAACAAGCAGCGTCTGCTGGCACCATGATTGCAAAGTTGCACAGAGGTTTCAAGTCGGCACAGGGTCAACTGATGACAGGGATCCAGTCAAGCATCGTTGCCTCAGCACTTGTGCTTAACGTAGTCCACACGCCGGCAAAGCTAGCGGCTTCTACGATTGCGTCTCCAGGTAAGTGCAATGTGAAAGTGCCAACTGTACTCGCCGAAATTGAAAGTAGTCATAGTGTCATGCTAGGGTCCTGTAATTGGGTTTCAATGATGCAGCTGACATCAATGGCCGGAGCGTCAAGCGTTCGAACAAGGGCTGTGGGGCGGTAGAGCGCGAAATAGTATGTTCAGCTGTTAGCCCCTGGGCCAAGAATAGCGTGCGCAAAGAGTGGCGAGAGGGAGCAGGACGTCGTCTAAACATTGGTCCAATGTTATGTGGACATGTGGATTCCCGGTTACCCAGATCGTGGAAGATGGTTGATTTAGGGGACCCCAACCGGAGCTTTTGGTCTAAAGACCTGAACCGCGAAGCATCGGGGCGTTTGACATCTATCGCATACCTTTGGGAACCGGCTACCACGATGATAATAACACGGCTTTTGAGCAGAAACAAAATGCCCAGGCTGCTCAAGTCTAAATGAAACAGCAAGAAGGCCAGCAGTAATTACCTGGACCAACGTACCCACCGAGCAGCATGAAGGCTGTTGACAGCCAGGTGACTCATGCGCCTTCACGAAGGCAGGTAGCCGTCGAGCTCGTTTACCCTTCCTACGCTTGATTCTTACTTCTGGTCGTAGAACTGAGTGATCCGGACCCTATAACTGGTCACATTGGCTTTGAGATAGCATCTTACGAGCTCTTGTGGTATTTAATGAGGAACCAGGTGACGAACCCAGAACCCCCTCGCTCTAGGACACTGCCGCTGGTTGTTCGCAACTGCTTAGTCATCTTCCCTGCGTACAGCCGAGACTTATTCATAGTCACGTTTGCAAGGAATGCATGCTCCGATTCGCAACCTGGGGACGTGCCCGGTGGCGTACAGATCCACCGAACCAACCAGTAGTCATTTCACTTCCGGACCGCTTTACACCTGCTCAACCAATTACTATCCATCATCATCATCATCATTATACACATCAGCCAGAGGTGGGAAAACACCTCTGCTATTGTGCCGCAACACATGAAAGAAAGAAATACATATAATACAATACACAAAGGAAAAATAGATACAACAGTTACATGCCAGCTGAGCTACCAGCAACGGATAGGCATCGTTCCGATAAGCTACCAGCCAGCTACCAAACAAAAAGAAATTTGGTGATTAGAATCAACCAAGTGTGCCAACACGGCGCTCATCACAGTTTTTCTTTTACCATTGCGTACATTAGCTGGACAATGCTCGCGTATTCTCTCAGACAGCCTCCTAGTGGTTCTTCCAATGTATCTTGCTCGACATGAACAAGAGAAGGAATATACACAATAAGAAGTACATGACCAGGGAAGTCTGTCTTTGAGTTGGGGCCTCATGATTGGTGTTGAAGTAAAACTTAGCCACAAGCTCGCTGCGTAGTACGTATGACTCATAGCGTCGGATAATCTTCTAAATGTTGCCTGCGCTATGCCATCCCCCTTGAACGGCAACGACAAATAAACCGGTTGCTTTTCTACCGAAGCTGGTTTACCTCTCATTTCTCTGCACTCCATATATTTCCGAACAAATTTTTCTGGATAGCCGTTTCTCTCGAAAACGCCACTTAAGAAACTGAGCTCGTCCGCAAGTGTGTCCTCACTACAAATCCTTCTGGCCCTTTCGGTTAGACATCTAATCAAGTTGCGTTTCTGATTTATTTATTGGGGTCCCAATAAATCAGAAACGCAACTTGATTAGATGTCTAACCGAAAGGGCCAGAAGGATTTGTAGTGAGGACACACTTGCGGACGAGCTCAGTTTCTTAAGTGGCGTTTTCGAGAGAAACGGCTATCCAGAAAAATTTGTTCGGAAATGTATGGACTGCAGAGAAATGAGAGGTAAACCAGCTTCGGTAGAAAAGCAACCGGTTTATTTGTCGTTGCCGTTCAAGGGGGATGGCATAGCGCAGGCAACATTTAGAAGATTATCCGACGCTATGAGTCATACGTACTACGCAGCGAGCTTGTGGCTAAGTTTTACTTCAACACCAATCATGAGGCCCCAACTCAA